GCAACATGGAGGAGTGCAGGTTCATTTTTAGTATCAGCATATGTAGAAAAGTTAAAACAAATAACCATTTAATATAAATTTGTAGAGGCGGATTCTCTGGCTTAAGGCCAGCTCTGCCACAGTAGTGGTGAGGATAACCACTTTCGATCCTCTCACCCACCACTTTTTTCATTAAAACCTTTCTCAGCAACATGTCCCAAATCCAGTAATAGAACTGCGTCTCACAGGGACTGCATGCTGGAGAAAAACTGCACCACAGTTAAACAGAGAGATAGCAGAGGATTTAGCACTTCTCAGCCACATGCCCCTTTTGATGCTGAAACAAGACCTCTTGTTTCCCAAAAGCTTCTACATGATGGCAACACGTCTGGATTTCAAAACAGAGATCTGCCAATGTCGTATCCAGCTTGGCCTGATGACTCTCCCAACATTCAGAGAGATTCCCTTTTCCCAGGAAAAGCCTGGGAGAAAAGATAAACTTTGCAATGTGCCCTTAAGGTCAATATCCTTGCGCTCTAGTAACCAACTGAGGGACAGCAAGTTCTAAAGTTTAAGCCCCTTCCCTGCAACTTTCCCCCTTGAGAGCTCTCTGTGACTAAATCAGCAAACTTTGGGGTCTAATTTCTCAGCTACGCATAATCTAAGAAAAGTAATTTCGACAATGGCAAGTATCTGAATGCCTGGTCCTGAAGAGACTAAATTATAGTAGCCAAAAACTGAGTACCATTGTTTTCCCAGGGATAAAATGAATGTGGTACACAGACATTAGACTTATCTTTTAAAAATATGTAGTTAAAAACAGCTAAAACAGTAAGCTTGCAACTGACTGTACTGCACATTACATAAAAGATGTCAAAATTCAAAAGAACTACAATGAAACAAAAAAGAACAAGGTGAGAATAGAGAGCCTATCAACTGAAAAACATATGCCCCCAATTCTGTTCTGTTCCATAAACACAGTAAGTAGAGAGAATGTTATAATCCATACTGACATTACAAAACTCCCATGATTTTTTTAAAAATTCACAATCCCATTTGAAAACAAAAAGATGCTTTAGAGCAGGTCAGACTGCAGACTGCCATCTCTTATTGACAGCAGCTCTCTGGGATTTTGGGGTACAGGAGCATCTCCATTTTGCTGACTCGGCAATTGGGCTATCCAAAGGGTGACCTGTGACCCTTTTGCAGTTGTTACACTTTGTCACCCATCCACTCCAGCCAGCATGGCAAAACAGTCAAGAAAGATGGGAGTTGCAGTCCAACATGTAGGCCACAGGTTGACCTCCAACATGAGAACAGCTGCTCTTTCTTTCTTTCTTTGCAATGCTTGAGGGCAGGGAGGTGTGTTGCTCCTACTGCCTCATGCTACCCCTGTCTACTCAGAATCAAGCCCCACTGAGTTTAAAATAGGACCTACTCCCAGGTAAGCATGTAAAGGTTTGTAACCTTACATATAACCCTTACCCATCTGGGAGAACGCCCCATTTTTTTTCACTAAATGGAGGCTGTGACGGCTGCGATGACGTCACCTAGGTCTGTAACCTTACATATAACCCTTACCCATCTGGGAGAACGGCCCATATTTTTTCACTAAATGGAGGCCTATTCCCAAGTAGACAGGCACAGTCTTGAGCTGTTGTTGACTTATTTCTGGGCAAAGATGGAAACCTACTTGTTTGGACTATATCTCCCACAATACCCCAGCCAGCCTGGCCAGTTGTCTCTGATTCTCAGGCACAATTTGGTATACTCTTACTCGCTAGCATTTCTCACCGATGTAGGGACTGGAATGCCAAGATGATTTTTATTAGAATATTTTGTTCCTAATGGAAATCAAAAGAAATCAAAAAGTTATGCCTTAGATACATGGCATAAATACAAGCCCTCATTTACAATCAGGACAGAAATGGATATTTTTAAAACTGGCATGGAGTATTGTCCATTCTAATAGACTAGAGTAGAGAAGAAGAGGAGAAACGGGGCTATCTCAGCCTCCTTGGGCAAGCATCTGATTTGTACTTTCTTCTCAGCTGGATGCCACTCCAGCAGGCCACCTGTTCTATTTGTATTTCATTGGTCAGAATAACAAATGTGGCCTTAACTTTCTTTTTTTCCTTCTCCCTCCCCATTCCTTATTCCTCATGTATCATCTCTTTAGTTTACATTGTAAGTTTGAGGATGGGGGCAAAGTAAGATGTCTTTAAGTGAATATGTAACCATTATTGATTAACAGAAAATACATCCAAGAGAATAATGAAAGAGTTGAAGAAATCACATTTAGGACAGAAATATTAACCATCTGTTTGACTCTGATCAGTTGTACAGATTATATTGATCCTCATCATACAAATTGCCTGAAATAAAGAACAAACTGTTTTCTAATACAGAGCATCCAGTAATCCTAATTTGGCTATAAACTATTGACAAATATAGTCCTGACATGCCAAGCTCTATAAATTCATAGAGGATTACTTCTACAATAAAATATACATCTGCAAGAATGAAATAGCAGTAATAAGGATATAATTTGGTATAACTTTTTAAATTCTAATTAGGGTTGTTAATGCTGCAGTCTCTCACTCTCAGAGAGAAATAAAACAGGAGAAAAATTTTCTCCTAGCAGGAGGCTTTTTGTGCATTTTTTTTTCTTCCTGAGAAAAATTACAGGAAACCTCATGGGATATCTCTGACGATTCATGGTTATTTTTTTCAGGAGGAAATCCTAATTGAACAGGATTATTACAATTCCTGAACACAGAAGCATGTTCCCTGGGCAGGACTCATCTGGGAAAAGCAGAAGATACACCAAGCAGTGCAGGATTGTTACAATTCCTGTGTAGAATGACATATTCCCTGTATTCAATTCACAATAAGGGAATTAAATGGCAAAATTTTTTGCAGTTTCTTGCACAGAAAATTGTGAAAAAGAAGGGGGGGGAAGGCCTCTCATTTTTGTGGGAAACTGGGAAATCTTGCAGATTCAGGAGGAAGTCTTCCCAAAGAGTCTCAGCATGATAAGACTCAGAAAGCGACGGAGAAGAACAATGTCACAAATCCTTCTCAGTCCCTAGTCTGAGGGATGTCTTATACCAGTAAGTTGCTTTATCCATTTCATCTACTGTAATTCCACAAACCCATAGACAGCAAACCCACACCCCAAAATTCATAAACCAAGCTTGGTGTCAACCTTATACAAAGACAGTGTCTTGTAGTCTGATTCTATGCTTGTCTTCTTGGAAGTAAACCTCAGTGTCTTTAATAACAGAGCTTAATCTCAGAGACATGACTCACACATGTGTACATGAGATGGTAGCTGTTTTCCTCATCACAGGCAAAAACAAAAGTTTTCCATATGCTATGTGCTACACACAGAGCCTTCTTGAACACACTGGTTTAAAAGCCAATTATGCCTCCCTACCCCGCCACTGCAATCACATTTCTATCTCTACGATCCTATGCAAGTTTACTTGGAAGTGCTACCAAATTCCGCTAAGTAAGTAAGTGCACATAGGGTTGCACCTGTCTTTCATCCAGAATTCCTACACAATTTTAATTGATGTATAGGTTGGCCACCTATAAAATTGCTCTCAGAGACACAGAACATTAAGCAATATTCTTGAGGTCACACAAAAGGCTTTAGAAAGGTGTGAACAAAACTGATCCAAAATTGATTTTTTTTATGAGAGAGAGAGAGAGAGAGAGAGAGAGAGAATTATATCCAAACTGTAGAAATTAAGGACTTGCTTCCATAATTTAAAAATAATGAAATACTACTGCTAAGTGAGACTACGGCCCCTGAGGCTTAAAAAGCATTTATCAAAATCTAAACATAGTAAGAGTAACATAGTTTGGATGCCTAACAAATCAAACCTGTAATCACAGCCAAGAATTCAAGAGCATAATAGTAGTAGTTGTGTAATAGTAAACAACAGGGAGAGAACAATATAACTATTTTGGTCACTTGCCTGAATGCTGAACAGCAGGCACTCAAAAATCAGTTTACATCCAATTATGTCTATGCTTAATTTCCCCTATGCAACCCAAACTGAGACAGTATATATTTTTGAGAGAGAAGGATGGCTTCCACTACCATCTACAAAGTGCTTACTCTAGAGGAGTCCAACAGAATTCAGTGGCACCAGTTGGCTGTAAACCGTGTGCATGTGCAGCCCTGTTCTAGCTGTCATGCTACTCCGGAGTAAAGCCATGACTGCTCTGCAGCCTTACTTGAAAAGATACACAGAACCAGCCCACTCTGGGATAGACAGGAGGATTGGCTGCAGGTTTTCCCTAAGGTTTCCCCTGAAGTTTTGGTGTGAAAGAATTACGTTTATCCTTCTCTGCTCCGAACGTTCAAAGTTTTTCAGGCGCTGGACGGCTGTTCTTTTCGACTAGATCTGACTCCAGAGTTAACCCCTTTTTTTACTTTGGAGTGATTTATGTCAGGCACCCAGGGCAAAGAAAGGCTCCAAGCTGGAAGCTGATAGCATCTCCTGTCAAGGATCTAGGCTGCCTCTATTCTCCCAATCTCTGATATGGAGGCGGCGGCGGGGGGGGGCACACATCCTGCAGCTGCCTGCCTCGTCGCACCCATTCCTCTGCCAGTGCAAACAATGCGTGTGCCTCCCTTATCGCGGGGGGGGGGG